TTTTGATTTTTTTTTTTTTTTCAGAGACAAGATCTCACTATGTTGCCTAGGCAGGCCTCGGACTTCTGGGCTCAAGCAGTCCTTCCCCCTCAGCCTTCAGAAGTGCTAGGATTACAGGCATGAGTCATTGTGACTGGTCATCATTTCCCCTTCTTACAAAAGAAAAATAAAAAACCAAATATTTATTCTTACCATACTACCTCCTCCCCAGTGGTTGCCTAATTTTGCTTCCCTTTGTAGCAAAACTATTGGAAGTAATTGTCTATACTTGATTTCTTTAATTCTTCTCCTCTGTTCTTTTAAAAACCCACTCCAGTTAGGACTTTTCCTTTATCTCTCAATCATATCATTCTCACAAGAGGTGACAGTGATTTCTATACTGTTTTGTTTGATAGCCACTTCTCAGTCTTTATCTGACTTATTAACTGCCGTTGATAATATTAATGATCACTCCTTAACTCCCCAACCCATACACTTTATTCACTTAGCTTCTAGGATACCTCATACTTTCTTGGTTATCTTCTATCTTGTTTTATTTTAGATTCAGGAGATACACGTGTAGATTTGCTGTGTGGATATATTGTATGATGGTGAGATACAGGCTTCTGTTGAACCCATCACCCAAATAGTGAACCTGGTATCCCATAGGTAGTTTTTCAACCCCTGTGCCCTCCCCTTCCTCTCTCCTCCCTTTAGAAGTCCCTGTTGTCTATTGTTCCCCTGTGTACGTCTATGTCTAACTTGGTTGTCTTCTTATCTCATTGTTTTTTCCTCCTCTGTCTCCTTTGCCAGTACCTCTTCTTTTCCCTGGCCTGGAATGCCCAGTGTCCCCTGCTTGACCCTCTTCTCTTTATTATTTACACTCATTTCTTTGGTGATATCATTCAGCTCATTGGCCTTACATACCCTTTATTTATAGGCTGATATTTCTCAAATTTATACTGTCAGCCCAGACCTTCCTTTTGAACTCCACACTTGATTATCCAACAGCCTACTAGATATCTCTACTTGCATATCTAAATAGTCATTTCAAATTTAACATTGCCAAAATTGAAATCAGAAGATTTTCCCACCCAAGATCTGTTCTGTCTGCAACTTTTCTATGTCGGTTGATGGTAACTTCATCTTTTCTTGCTCATGCCAAAAACTTGGGTATCATTCTAGACTCCTCTGTTTCTCTCATTCTCTACATCTAATTATCCAGTACATCCTGTTGGCTGCACCTTCAAAATATGTCTAGAGTTTGACCATCTCTTACTACCTTTACTGATATCACTCCTGCTTAGAAATAAGTATTTCTCGCCTGTTTTACTTTGTTACCCCTAATTGCTCTCTCTGCTTCTATTCTTGCCCCTCCATTGACTATTTCAAACATGGCTACCAGTGATATTTTAGAGCAGAGTATGTCATTTCTCTGCTCAAAATCTTGCAATGGCTCCTCATGTTACTTAGTCATTGCTTAAAGGATTGATATAATCTGAACTTTTATGACATATTGTTCACTTACTCTTCCCCTTTCTCATTTGGCTGCAGCAAATTGGCTTCTTCACTATTAACGTACCAAATCCTCTTGCCTAAGAGGTTTTGCTCTAGCTGGCTCCTCTGCCTGGAATGGTATTCCCCAGACGATGACAATGCCCCCGTCTCCTTCAGGTCTTTATCAAATCTCTTTTCTCAATGAGACCTACCCTGAACTGTCACATCAGCATCCTGCTTCACTGCTCAGCTGGCCATACTCTCCAACCTTCTTACCCTGTGTTACTTGTTTATTATTTCTAGTTCACAAGGATGTAAGTCCCTAAGAGGTTAGGGATCTTTTCTCTTTTACTCACTGAGATATTGAAAGTGTCTAGAAAAGTGCCTGATACATGGTGGGTGCTCAATAAATATTTGTTAATTGAATTGATGAATTGAATCAGTGATTCTGGGCATATCTCTTAGTTGGTCTGTTTATCTTAGTTTCTAAGTCTATTGGGTGGAGATATCTCCCCTTTTAACAGATTTGTAAAGCGGCTCAGAATCCATGATTGTCAGGTACATGGCATGTGAAAACTTTTGAGTTCAGTTATCCAGATGGGATATGGTATTATCAAATAGAATTATGTACTTGTCTTTCTCTTCATCAATACCAAACAGACTTTTTTTTTGTTGTTGTTGTTGTTAAAGTGGAACAATAAGAATATATATTTCTTTAGATTTTATGACTTATTCCTAAAGTAACCTCCTGGAAGGAAAATCAGAAGTAATAATCTCTGCTTCCTAAATGAGAATCTTGCTGTGTGTGGAGGCTCGCAACTGTAATCCCAGTACTTTGGGAAGCCTAGGTGAGAGAATTGCTTGAGCCCAGGAGTTCGAGATCAGTCTGGGCAACATAGCGGGACCCTGTCTCTACTAAAAAAATTTAAAAAAAGTTAGCCGGGCATGGTGGCATGTGCTTGTAGTCCTAGCTACTTGGGAGGCTAAGATGGAAGGATTGGCTGAGCCCAAGTAGTCGAGGCTGCCCTGAGCTGTGATTGTGCCACTGCACTCTAGCTTGGGCAACAGAGCGAGACTCCAACTCAGAAAAAAAAAAAGAAAATCTTGAGATAAAATTAAGATAAATTATTGCACCCAGCTTATTTAATTTGATGGGGGAGCTGGATTAATAATAATAATTAGTCCTGAGTTCTAAGACTGTGGTAGCTTTGTTCACTAAATTATGTCTTTCTAAACATCTGTTAGTGTTGGACACTAAACATTTTGACAACTAGGTTTACTTATCAAAACAGAATTGTGTGGTTTTTTTTTTTTAAACTGCCTCCTATAGTGATACTTAATTGTTTCTAGTATGTGTCAGATCTATGTTGTAAGGTTAGTGGTAGCATAGATAAAGAAGCTAGACTGGACTGCCTCAACAAGATTGGGGTATAAAAATCCCTCAGAGTCATCAGTGATTTTTCACTTGTCAGTGTTTAGCTCTGAAGTTCAGTTAGAAAGATGATCTCCAGCTACATCCTTGTTGCTGCAAAATACCTGATTTTGTTATTCTTTATGTCTGGGTAGTATATCGTGTAGTATCATGTAGTGTTCCGTCCTGTATATGTATCACATTTTCTTTATCCGGTCCACTTTTGATGGGCATCTGGATTGGTTCCATGTTTTTGCTATTGTGAGTAGTGCTGCAATAAACATATGCATGCAAGTGATTTTTTGGTAGAGTTATTTATTTATGTTCCTTTAGGTGTATTCCCAGAAGTGGGATTACTGGGTCATATGACAACTCGATTTTTAGTTCTTTGAGAAAATGCCACATGGCTTTTCGCAAAGGTTGAACTAACTTACATTCCTATTAACAGTGTAGAAGTGTTCCCTTTTCTCTGCAGCCTTGCCAACACATGTTGAATTTTTGACTTTTTAATGATAGCCATCCTGCCTGGTATGAGGTGGTATTTCATTGTAGTTTTGATTTGCATTTCTTTGACAATTAGTGAAGCTGAACTTTTTTCACGTGTTTGTTGGTTACTTGTATATCTTCCTTTGAGAAGTGTCTGTTTATGGTCTTTGCCCATTTTTTAATTGTATTGTTTGATTTTTCCCCTATTAATTGGTTTGAGTTCCTTATAGATCCTGGATGTTATAATGGCCTTTTTTGGATGCATTGCTTGCAGATACTTTTTCCATATATTATCTCTTTACTCTCTTGTTGGTTTCTTTTGCTATGATAAAACTTTTTAGCTTGATTAGGTCCCACCTTTCAATTTTAGATTTTGCTGCGTTTGCTTTTGGGGACTTTGGCCCAATGTGTTAAATGCAAGTACCACTGCTTGGCAGGAATGGAAAGGGAGAGAATGGGAGTGGGTAAACAGTAGATTATTTTGTATATAAAAGATACTTTGATTTTTTGTATCATTGACAACCTAGTTGCTTGTTCAATCTCTGTTCTAAAGAGAATTATTCAGAGGCTAGTAAAAATAATAGTGTTTCTTTTATGACAGAGGTATGAAGTTTTCTCAGAACCACAATGAACACATAATGCATCTTTTAAAAGTCATATACAAATGTAAGGGAATCTACTTTATATTGTCTGAAAATACACTGGGAATTTTGGCTATATTTTCATCTGTTCAAGCCAGGAGAGAATTCCTTTTCAAACTAGAGTGTTATCAGGATGGGGATCTACCTCCATTCCCCTCAAATGGTGCCTGGGAAGAGGACTGGATATGTGCTGTTCACTGCTACCCACCTGGCTTTCTGCTTCCATTTTCTCATCCAACTTCCCTCTCTAATCCATTCTCAATGTTCCTACCAGACTTTTAGTCCTAAACATAAATTTAGCTGTTATTCCCCTTCACTAAATTCTTAATGGCTCCCCATTTGTTCATTACTTGAAGTCCACATCTTTTAAGTGTCATTTAAGGTGCCTGGTCATCTGATGACAGACCTCCTTTCTGTGGAAAGACATAATCTTCCACCATGTCTTTCTGCCCAGTCCGTACCCTAGCCACAGCAATCACTTGTCATATACCAAAAATAAAAAAGGTCCCTATGACCATTTCAAAAAAATTTGGGGGAGTACTTTTGAAGGCTTGTTGCATATTGTTACAACAGGTATGTTGCATAATGCTGAGGTTTGGGCCTCTATTTAACCTGTCACCCAAATAGTAAACATGGTATCCAATAGGCAGTTTTTCAATTCTCACCCTCTGCTCTCCCTCCTCACTTAGGAGTCCCTGATGTTCGTTTCTCTCTTCTATGTCCGTGTGTACCCAGTTTTTGGCTTCCACTTAAAAGTGAGAACCCTTGTATTTGGTTGTCTATTTCTGTGTTAATTTGCTTAGAATAATGGCCTCCTGCTGAATCCATGTTGCTGTAAAGGACATGATTTCTTTTTTTTTTTTTTTTGAGTTGGAGTCTCACTCTGTCACCCAGGCTGGAGTGCAGTGGCACGCTCCTGGCCGCTGCAGCCTCGACCTGCTGGGCTCAGACGATCCTTCCCGCCTCAGCCTTCCGAGTAGCTAGAACTATAGGAGCATGCCACCACACCCAGATAATTTTTTTTATTTATTGTAGAGTCAAGGTCTCACCAAGTTGCCTAGGCTGGTTCAAATCCCAAGGCTCAGGCAATCTTCTTGCCTTGGCCTCCTGAAGTGCTGGGATTACAGGCTTGAGCCACTGCGCCCAGCCAAGGACATGATTTCATTGTTTTATGGCTGTGTAGTATTCCATGGTGTATATGTGCCACATATTCTTTATCCCATCCACCATTCCTATCACCATCTCTTGTGCTATTTATTTTACATAGTGTATTTGTCTTCTTCCTTCTATTAAAATATAATCTTCATCATGTGGACAGTGATTTTTTTTTCTGTTACATTTACTGCTTTTCCTTTACCATTTTAGAGCAGCACTTTACACGTAGTAGACACCTGATAAATTTGCATACATAAATAAATTTTTAAAAACTAACCTGCACATAAGTATGCCAGGGTTAATGTTTAGTGCTTTTATGTGCCAGGGACTGTTTCTGTTGCTATTTTTAATCAGGTTGAGAATTTTATTTCTCACATTTAAAAAAGATAATATTTTAGGTTTGTAGTGGGGAGTAAGTTGTTATTAATGGCTTGCTCTTTCTGGTAGCATTCAAAAAGAATATGATGTAATACATATTTAGTTCTAAAATTATATTTTAGATAACATTTTTCTTTAGGCAAGGAATAAGAAATCAAGTTGTCTTCCTTCAACAGCTGGTCTATAAACAGAAATCTCTTTGCAGCTGAATCAATGTTTTCCTTATGTTCTATGATCATAAATACTGAATTTCCACAGATTGCAGTTCTATCAGGAAAAAAAGATTCTTTCTTTTTTTAAGTTGTTAATTTTTTTCCCACTATTAAAATTTGTTTTAAGTTGCAATTCAGTGCCTGGAGACGGTTTTTAAGATCAGCCCAGAAGACACACACCTAGCAGTGTCACAGCCTTTGACAGAAATGTTCTCCAATTCCTTCTGTAAGGTATGTTATCATTGTTTTCATATCAGTATCTAATGTAAGTATGACTGAAATTTTGTGTTAATAGTTGAGGGTCCAGGTGTGTAATTAAGTAACTTATTGTATATAAAGTGGATAGTGTGTCCATATGGAGACAATTTGATATCTAAAATCTAACTTATTTATTGTGCCTTAGATTTTCATATAGTGGTACTTATCCTCTCACCTTCTTTTATATTTAATGTGTTAGTCAACTTTTAAGTCCTTTACAGTAGCTTAGTATTTTTATTTGTATTTTTTATTCCATGTCCTTTCAATGAATCTGAGTATTTTTAAATCTCCAACATCTGAATCGACATTTCCCTAAAACATGGAACACAAATTAAAGCAAAAGTTTTAATGTCTAGAAAGCAACTATGCAGAAATAGATTCACTGGGGTTGAATAATCATTTCTAAAGCAGATTTCTTCAAATTTGGCCATTACTGGGGCTCGTTAAAACAGGGAAAGGTTGAGGATCAGTGTGCAAAACTCAGACTGAAACCTGAGTTTTCTGATCCCTGCTCCCAGGGACTATTTACATGGCCTTTGGTTTCTGGCATTTTCAGGACACATAGACCACGAGATTGTCTGAAAAATGTTAAGGTTAGTGAGTGTAGGGCCCCATCGTGACCTCCTACATGTTTCTTATTTTGGTGCTTTGTGGACTTTTTTTTGTTTTTCTAGCTCTGTGTTCAAGTTTGAATACATAGTGGAGAATTCAGGAGTGGAGCTGAAATATGTAGTGTATGAGGGGAAACCCTCTCTAAAAATGGAATTGTCTTTTAGAGGGTGGACCCCTGGTAGTACAGGTTTCCCCTGCTAGGTGAGTGTTCTAGGAACTCATTGGCATCAGTGTGCCAGCTAGTGTTGTTGTGAGAGGCTGTGTTCGACTTCAGTGAATTTTTTTTGGAGATTCTTTCAACACATTTGTCCATTTCATGATGGATGATTTATGAGTGTACCCACCCCAAATGGCTGAGTGTTCAGTGGTTTTTGACCAAAAGCGGCATAATCCCCATTGTACCCTCCCTGTTCACCTGATCTCTCCCCAAGTGACTTATTTTTTTTCCCCCCAAAAGGAAAAAATCCTCAAAGGGAAACCTTTTACCCATGTTGAAGAGGTGAAACAAAAAACATCAGAAGCACTCAAAGGCATTAGAATCGATAAGTTCAAGGCTGGGCGTGGTGGCTCATGCCTGTAATCCCAGCACTTAGGAAGGCAGAGGTGAGAAGATTGCCTGAGCCCATTGGTTTGAAACCAGCCTGGGCAACTTGACAGGACCTTGTCTCTACAATCAGTCAAAAAATTAGCTGGGTGTGGTGGCATATGCTTGTAATTCCAACTGCTTCCTTGGAAGGCTGAGGTGGAAGGATTGCCGGAGCCCAGCAGGTCGGGGCTGTGGTGACCATGAATATACCACATTGCATTCCAGCCTGGGTGACAGAATAAGACTCTGACTCAAAAAAAAAAAAAAAATAGAATTGATGAGTTCAAAAACTGTTTTGAGCAGTGGGAAAAGAGTCTCAATAGGTATATTGTATCAAATGAAGAGTCCTTTGAAGTTGACTGAAATTTAAACATGTAAGAATAAATAGAGTTTTTTATAAATAAATTCTGGGTTTTTTGGGGTCCCCCCTCATATACTTCAGTCTAGAATGGACATTGCTGACAGCACCACATTTGACTGCATTCTCCAGGCTCTGTTTCTAGAGCTTCTTGAGAAGAGGTTTGTAGAGTTGTAATAAAGTTGGTCATTTGGCAATAAATGACTCCCTCTTTTTGTACTTGGAAAAAAATTATACAGTTATATATTAATTGATCAAACAGATGAATTCTGATTATATGACAAGACATAAGGATATAGTGACATTTCTCTCAGTTCCTCATCAAAGAACCCCCTTCTTCTCTTGGTAGGCTCTGGTTCTTTTATCGCCTGGGCCTGTGACCTACTCAGGGAACCCTGTTTCAGTGGCTGGAGTGGCTCTGGCTGAAGCAGACCTTTTTTACCCTCAGGTGCCTGAGGCCTGTGTTTGAGACAGCACATGGATTTGCTCACTCTACTTACTGTCACCCCTAACGTAGTCCTGAAGAGATCAGAATTTTTTTCCTTAAGGAAGCTCTATTGATTTTTACACTCTATTTAAATAAAGCTTTTTTTTCTTTTGCTGTATCTCTCTGGTTGCAATTAATTGTAAGAAATTTGTTGCTTACTATTATTAAAACATGGTATATTGAAACTGGCTCCCTAGTATATTTGCAGTAGTAGTTGTGGTATCACAATCCCTTTAGTAGTCCTGTTTTACAAATGTGGCTTCATTCCATATGTGTTTGGGGTTTGTTTTTTTTTTGGAGGGGGGACAGGGTCTCACTCTGTCATTCAGGCTGGAATGCAGTGGTACAATCTTGGCTCAGTGCAGCTTCCATTATCTGGGCTTAAAGGATCCTCCTGTCTCAGCCTCCTGAGTAGCTGTGCTTGCTGGGACTGCAGGCATGTGCCACAGTGCCAGGCTAATTTTTTTTATTTTTTTTTAGAGGTGGTGTCTTGCTTTTGCCCAGGCTGGTCTTGAACTACTGGCTTCAAGTAATCATCCCACTTTGGTCTCCCAAAGCACTGGGATTATAGGTGTGAGCTACCATGTCTGGCACATTTGTGTTTGCTAACAGAGTATGACAGAGAACGTCTACAATTGTCTGAAAATCAAGATCATTATATTAAAGAAATTCTTTGTCTCACCAAGTGGACTTGGTTGCTATATTGTCATTTAGTTTTAGGATACTGCTTTTCTGTTTTTTCCTCCCTGGTTAAATTTATATACTAAAGTGACTCACTTAAAATTAGGTAGAAGAGATCCTTTTGCAGTTCATAAGCATGCTGATTGGGTTTTCACATGCATGTGTGAGATGTGCCTCCCTCAAATCTTGTGATATGGGCATGTTACCCATCTGACATGAAAAAAAAAAGAAAAAAGAAAAGAAAAATAATAGGTAGCACTTGTCCCCAGATGATGAGTTGCTCAAATTTACTTAATGAATATGAGAATTAAAGTATAAAACTGGGGCAATTTTAGTGAATAATTCAGAAGGATTTGGAACACAGAATGGGTTAGAATCCATTTTTCTTTTTTCCTTGAGTCAGAGTCTCACTCTGTCAGCCAGACTGGAGTGCAGTGGCGTGATCACGGCTCACTGTAGCCTCAACCTTCTGGGCTCAGCCTACCCTTCAGCCTCAGCCTCCTGGGTAGCTGGGACTACTGGTGTGTGTCACCATGCCCTCCTCATTTTTTCTTTTTTAATAGAGACAAGGTCTCTGTGTTGCCTCGGCTGGCCTCGAATTCCTGGGTTGAAGTAATCCTCTTCCCTTGGCCTCCCAAACCTCTTACTGGGATTACAGGCATGAGCTACCTCACCCGGCTAGAATTCATTTTTCAATATCCCATTTTTCTGCTCCCCTAAAATCACTGTTTTTTCCATGTATAAACTGCCTGGGCTTGTTGGAAGACTTCAAATAGAGAGAACCCTAAAAGCAAGTGCTGTAGGGCGGTAGCATGCCTTTGAATCATATTTACATTCTGAGCAACTTCATTCAGTTTTTTTGTTTTGTTTTAATTTTTGTTTTAAAGATGTGGGGTACAATTCATTCAGTTTTAAGTAGTGACCTCTAGTTATGAAGGTTCTTATTTTGTTTCTGTTTTTTTTATTCCATTCTTTTATTCTTAGGAAAACTGATTGGTAGAAAAGGATTTTTTAAAAATAAAGACTTGACCCATATACTTTGCCAGTGATTTTGTACTTATTATTTGCGTCTAATTAGCCAAGCATATTTTCAATATATGATCTATGAATTGTACAGAAATGTTGATCAAGAAACAGGTAAGCCGGGCTCGGTGGCTCAGCCTGTAATCCCGTGCCTTTGGGAGGCTGAGGTGAGTGGATTGCCTGAGCCCGCGGGTTCGAGACCCGCCTGGGCAGCGAGACCTCATCTCTACAATAAATCAAAAAATCAGCCGGGCGTGGTAGTGCATGCCTGTAATTCCGGCTACTTGGAAGGCTGAGGTGGAAGGATGGCCGGAGCCCAGCAGGTCGAGGCTGCGGTGGCCGGGAGCGGCCACTGCACTCCAGTCTGGGCGACAGAGTGAGACTCCAACTCAAAAAAAAAGAAAAAGGTAATGGTGGATATAGTTTAAACATAGTACATAGGCACAATGGCTACAAATTATGCCTTTTAAAAAATGATAGACTTATATATGAACTTTATAGTCAGGCTTAAAAGCAATGCAATTTTTAAAAGGCCTCTCAAAAATGACAAAATACCTTGTGTTCCCACTGCCATCAAGATATTTCTTTTCAACTTGGCAAGACCTCATCTCTATAATAGATTAAAAAAATCAGCCAGTCATGGTAGCATGTGCCTGTAATTCTGGCTACTTGGAAGGCTGAGGCGGAAGGATCGCCGG